TAAAAGTAAAGTTCAAATTAATCTCCAAACTTAGAAAACAAATAAAAGGAATCCATGTGTTCTTTGTTTTTTTCATAGATTTTTTTAACTTTATTTATTAAATAATTTTTACAATTCATTATAAAAAATATATACTCCTTCCGTCTCAAAAGTATAGTCTTATTGTATTGGGCACAGAATTTAAGAAATATTGATATTATATTGGTAGTTGCTAAAAAAGTAAAAGTAAATGACTTTTTTGCCCTTATAAGTATATTAGTGTAAAAAGTAATGACAATTGTGTAATAATAATGAAAAAGTATGGATAATTTTATGGTGATATGATTATTTATGAAAATAAGACTATTATTTTGGGACAGACAAAAATGGTAAACAAGACTATTGTATTGGGACAAATTGAGTAATATTTTTAGTAACATATCACATCAAAAATTAAAATTACAATACAAAACCAAAAGCATAATAATAAATTTTCATTTTGTAAAATAAAGAGATAAAAGCATTGTACATATGATAGAGATTATATTTGGTTTTATTGTGGGGTATTTTCTTGAACATAAACGTACTTATAAATAGGGGTGTCTAAAGTAAACCCGACCCGAAAAATCGAACCCGTTCGACCTGAAATTTTTCAGGTTCGGGTTTGGGTATTTCGGGTTTGAAAAAAATCAGGTAGATCCGAACCTGAAACGAAAAAAATTCGTGTCGTGTTCGGGTCGTGTTTCGGGTTGACCTGATAACCTGAAATGTCAAAATCATGTTAGGTTTTGGGTTTCGTGTTTCGGGTTGACCTGAAATTTTTATTATTATTATTTTAATTTATAATATTTATATTATTTTAAATATAAAATAATATAAAAATTAAAATAAAAATGATATTTTTTAGGTCAATTTAATTTTTTTTAAATTTTCGGGTCTATTTCGTGTCGGGTTTATATCGGGTTTGTTCGGATTTCGGGTGACCTGAAACTAATTCAGGTCAACTTGAACCCGACCTGAGAGAATTCGTGTCGTGTTCGGGTCTAGGATTTCAGGTCAGATTTCGAGTTCGGGTTGGGTTCTGATTGACGGGTTTTTTGTTGTCCTCATGGCTCAACCCGACACGAACACACGACCCAAACACATGAATTGACAACCCTACTTATAAATATTAGTTATCATTGGAAATTAGAGGTAGCGAATTTTAACTTATTCAAAATAATATTTAAAAATTAATATTTATTACAAATAATATTATATAAAAAGTGTACACAAAATTACAAATAAACAAAGCACTATAGTCTACATCACACATAATTTTCAAATGTCCATTTCTTACAAGCCCACACCATTTACTCTTGTCCTTTTTCTAATAAATAAATATTATATATATAATTATTTAATTATTATCTATATATTCTCCACTCAATTTACAACAAATATAACTATAAATATTTGTTTAGTATTTTTATTTAAAATATTTTAATATAAAGTATAACGAATTATGTCAATAATACTTCCTCCATCCCATAATAAATTATCTATTTTTTCATTTTAGTTTGTCTCATAATAAAGTATTCATTTTTTTTTTTTTAGTAATGGTACTATCTACCTAACATTACAAATACCTTCACAACTTACAATATATTACACAAATATCATTAATTTGATATCACACAATACTAATAAGGTTATTTTAGTAATTTTTACTTTATTCATACTAAATCCCAATATAATACTAATATTTCTAAGACTCCACGGAAAGCAAACGAATACCTAGTTATGAGACGGATGGAGTATAAAAATAATATTTTATTTTAAATATTAAATCAAAATAATGATCCAATAGTTTAGTTTTCAGAGCTTGGTGCAGGTGAGACACAAGCCAATTTTTTTTTGTATATTTTAATTGAGATTAAATTTGTATTATTGTTTTTAATTTAAAAAGAGAAGTTGGATGAATAATGTGAAAACAATTTTGAAGATATAAGTAAACATATTTCTTTTTGTATTTTATATAATATTTTAAATATAAAATCCTCGTATAATATTTTTTAATAATATGTTGTAGGTTGTATGTAGCAAAAAACACAAAAAAGATAAATGCATACATGAAATTTCAATTTAATCCAATTAGAGAAAAGATTGTAAATATAAATTTTAACCCCCAGAATATTATTAAATCAAGTAAGTTGTGACTATTTAAATAATTTCCATATTTAAGGAGACAAGTAAGGGTTTGGATATACCATTTTATTGAACTTTCATCTATTGTAATCAATATGGACAAGAAAATGATAGCTATCGTTGTATTCAATATATAATTATTTTGTCATCATAGAATGTTCCATCACACTAATTATTTTTATTTTTTAATAATGAAATTGGAGACTTCATTTCATGCTAAATAAAATATATAAATTAGTTAAACATTTTGTTAAGGAACAAATCATGTGATGATAGTTAAATATATATATATACATATATAATTTAAAGTATGTTTAGCTGTGTTTTTTACTATTTAGAATAAATATTTATAAAAATTATTTTTTTTTAAATTTAAAATATACTATTACACATAATATTCGATTTTATTTAGCTACCATTTACATAAATATTCCCTCTGTTTTTCCGCGCAATTTTTGAATTGCTATTTTTCAAAAATAATAATAATAATATATATAATATTTTATAAAAAAAATTAAAAAAAAAATTCAAATACTCGTTACAAAAAAAAAAAAAAAAAACACCTTCAAATGCTAATTAAATATTTAATTTAAAATAATATATTTTATATTTTTGGCATAATTTTTTATACCAATACCAAGAATTGTTTGGTTTAAATGATAAAAACAAATCTATTAAATTTCATAAACAAATGAAGGTATAATATAAATCTATTAAGTAATACAGTATAAAATTTTATTAAACAGTATATTAATTTAATTAACTGCATTATTTAATTTTATTTTCATTTGTATTGTTTTTAATATTTCTAATTTAAAATATATCAAAGTTTTTTAATTTATTTTTTTTTCCTTTGAATTTTTGTTTTTTTTTACTATTATTAAATGTTGTGGGTAGACATAAAAGTGGGAAGCATCAAATGAGGTAAGATAAGGTGAAGGACACGTGGCGACGAACGGCAACGGTAATGCCCGCAATGATCACCCATTAGGCTGCAATAAATAAATAAATAAAATAAAATAAAAGCGTATGAATAAAATAGATAATAAAATTATTTAAATTGGGGTTAGGTGTATACGTGCACATTCCGACACCCAATTAAACATTTCATTAAGGAAGTTATGATTTTTTATTTTTTTAAATTTTTTGTGAATTATTTTAGTTATTGTCCTCAGTTTAGATAAGGTGACGTTTAAATAAAAAATTTAGAATTTTGTAAATAGTAAATTATAACAATAGTTATTCAATTTAATATAAATAAGCATTGAATTCAATAATTTTTTATATAATATTTTTAATAAGAAATAAGTATTTAATCTCATATTTAGTTGTCATTTCATATTTTTAGGACATGTGTTTAATGTGATTGTATATTTTTTTGGTAATATATTTTTCGTTTTATAGTAAAAAGACAAATGTAATAGTTTCTCACTTTTTAAAAAGGAATTTATTTTTTATTTTTCCAATTTCAAAATATAGTTTTTTCTTTAATAATTATATTAAGTACCTAACATTAAAAATATTTTTATAATTTATAATATAATATTCAAATTTTTTTATGTTACTAATTAGAATTTTTTTTTCTCTTAATTTATAGTTACATCAAATATTAGACTAATATTAAAAAAATTATGTAAAAGAACAAAAGAATATTTAATTTCGCAACAAAAGAAGTATAAATTTTTATTAAAAAATAATATTTGTTTTGTAATAGTTCAAAAAATGTAAATAAAATTGAATAATTGAGGAAATATTCTTTTTAAAAATATATATATTTATTTGATTTCAGTCTAAAAAATTTTAAAATTAAGTATATAAAAACAAATTTGATCTCTCTCTCTCAAATTTATTATAAATGTATTTAATATATTTAAAAAAAACAATTTGTATAAAAAAAATAATAGCCAAATAAATAATAAAATCATACCACTTCAAACAGAGTGGTATCTCTTTTGATGGTTAATAATAAAGTTTTGAATTTAGGAGTGTTTGATCTGATTTGAATTGAATTAATTTTGATAAATATAATTTATAAAAACAATTTGTATAAAAAATAAGAGCCAAATAGATAAGAAATAAAAAAATAAAAATCATATAAACAAATGAAATGTAACATATATTTACATTAAGTGTGTTTATTTTGTATTTTCAAATAAATATATTTTTATATTAAATATGAATAATTATGTCTGATTAAAAAATATATATATTTTATATTAAATTATTAAATTTTTTTTAGTGGTAAAATGTAAATATATTAGTATATCTTATAATAATGTGTATGAACAAAAATAATAGTAAATTGTAATGCTTTTAATCTATAGTGATATTTTCTTAAATAGATAACATTAAATATATATATATATATGCTTACAAAATATATTAATATTAATTTATTAAGAAAAGAAAATTTTCAAAATGACAATCTTTTTATCTAACTAGAGCCTTTAATCAATTTATAAACCATATACATATGCAATATTAAATATACCCTAAATTATTGAAATGGAAAATGACATTTTATGATAAGTGACAGATGTAGCGTGAGAGTTGCTCATCTTCGTCCACGTCTACTAATGTGTATTTAAAGCTTTTGGAATCCAATGAAAATAATCATTAATTCATTATATATGAAATAAAATTGTAGAATCAATAAAATAAGATATAATAACAATAATATTTATACATAAAATAATGCTGACTACTTAATGATCTGTTGTTAGTTGGGAATATCCTTTAACTCTGAATATTAGTCAAAATCGCTACTGTGTTAAAAGCGCTTATTTCTCTAGGCGCTTTCTATACCACAAAAAAAAAAAAAAGGTAAAAGGGTAAGGTTCAAAAACTACGCTTTTTTATAAATAATTGTTTATATAATAATCTCAATATATATATATATATGTATATATATTTTTTATATGTTTGTATATTACATTCGTGCTGACAGAAGGGGATAAAAAAAAAACAAAAAAGAAAAAGCAAGGTAATATATACATCAGTGATTGTCCGTGAAAACGAAAAGTACAACTAGAAAAGCGCAAGGCACACCTCAAGAAGTCCACCCCACCGTCTCAAAGCTGCACGTGATGAAATCGTGACCGTCCGATGCCATCTGATCCAAAAAACACTCGCAGAAGTCCTTATCCAACGCCCACGACGGCGGGTGCAGCCACCCCTCTGTGGAGTCGACCACAGACAATTCTTTCCCCGACTCGGTCGGCTCGTAGCTCCCTTCCAAACTCGGCAGCTCAATGATCTGAGCCAACTCGTCCGACTCGCCGTTCGACTCACAACTCGACGACGACGCGCCGCCGGTATCTCCGGCGGCGCCGCCGAGAGAGCCGAGATCCTCCATGGCGGCGGCTTTCGCCGCCGCCGCCTGCACGTCTCTCGGCGAGAGCGAGTCCGGGCGCGGCAGCAACTCAGTGAGTCGAGGGAAATTGAGGATCGCCGAGTCGCCCTTAATGCAAAGCGCCGCCACGTCGTGAGCACGCGCCGCCATCTCCGCCGTGGAATAGGTCCCCAGCCAAATGCGCGACTTCTTCCGCGGCTGCCGGATTTCCGACACCCATTTTCCCCAACTCCGCATCCGTACGCCTCGGTAGATCGGGTGTTTATTCGCCTCTCTCTTCTTCAGACATTTATTCTCCTTATTCGCCTCCTCCGACGAGCTCGATTCCGACAGGCTCGCGGCGGCGGCGGCGGTGGAACACGGCGGCACGGCCATCGGTCGGATTTCAGACGCCAATAATTATTATGTGCTCTCAATAATTTCTTTATATAGTGAAGGAAAAAAGAGTGAGTTGAAGTATCAAAGAAGCCAATATGTCTCTTTGCTTTTAAAACCAAATTCGAAATAAATAAAATAATAATAATAATAATAAATAATAATAATAATAAATAACACTAAAGACACAAAAATATCAAAAGTGTACGTTGGAGTGCGACAGCGATGGTCCAAATTTTACAAAGTAAAAACAACTTTGAAATTTTCCAATTAATTACCGCATCATCGTGACGTCATAAATTTCAATATTAACCACAACACTCACTCTAATGTTGACTTGTTATCCGTGTATGGCAGGTGATCAAGGGTCGGAGTTTTAAACCCATGATCTTACGGTCATAAATCCAATCTCTACACATCAAGTCATCCGTTACCAACAAATTAGAACATCTTTTGGCAATTGAATTAATTGTTTGGTTATAGTTTAAAATTGATTTTAGACAAATATTTATTTAAATATCACTTTAATATGATATTGTATATAAAAAATAAATACTTCCTCCGAAAAGTCTTATTTACTATTTGCGTCATTGTATTTAACATTAAGAATATCATTATATTTATATATATTTTTTTGCACAAATGTCATTATAGAAGTATTTTTGTCATTTCTCTCAATTTTTAATACATTTTCATATAATAATTAATATTTAAAGATCAATACACAAAAAGTAAATGGAACATTCGAACACAGAGATAGTACTATATTTTATTAAATTTTTTACATAAATAAATAGTAGTAATAATTTAGTATAAAATTAGAAAGAAAAAAAAACCCAAAAATTTTAAAAGTTTTGAAGTTTCGAAAATAATAATAATATTTGACATGAAGTTTATTAAAAATGTAATATGATAAAAATTTTAAAATTATTATAACTAAATACTAATATCAAACTCATATAGTCATTTGATGTCATAAAAAATAATATAATTTGTTGATCCAATTTATATTCACATAGTCTCGTCTGAAATTTATAGCACTCTCTCCGCCATTCAAATTTATATTCACTTTTTTTTTGGATTGTCTTCGAAAAATATTCTAATTTATTTTTTAAGTAAAAAGTCATTCTACTTTTGTACTATTTTTTACTATAAAAGAAAAAATTAATAATTATTACTGACTTTTATTAAAACTCGTACCCGTAAAATGAACACACATTTGCATAACGGGGGAATACTGTTTATTTATAATAATTTATTTTTTTAAAAAAATTATTATATCAATTATATTTTTTATAAAATATCATATCCAAATATTAATTTTTTTATAAACTTCAAAACTCTCCTAAACCGAGCCTTAAATAGAGACTTTTGAATTTTGTAATTTTGAAAAATTTTAATAGACATTTTATTTTAATTGGGATTTTAAATTAATTTAAAATTAATATTGATTTGAATTTATGTTTAAATGTTATTTTTAATATAATGCTATTTTATAAGAAAATATAATACTATCTATGTCCCATAATTAAGTATGCATTTATTTTTTTTGTGTCGAAATTTTAATATTAATATTATATTATTACATATTATAAATTAAGAGAAAAAATACATTGCAATGATATTTTTATAAAATATTATAAGAATGTAACAATATTATTAATGTTAAGTATAATAATGTAAAAAATAAATGAATAATTTATTAAATGATGAAAAATATATATTTTTATTAAAATAATACGAAATAAATAGTAATAATTTAAATTTAAAATGATAAAAGAAAAAACTTTCAATCAATTCTATATAATGAATAACTCTTACAAAAGAATTCCAAACATAACTCACACAATAATTTCCTAAAATTGAATCAACTCAAGCTAGGGTTTGTTTTTATTTTTATTTTTTTTTTATAAATGTTTACTATGTAACTTTTTGTTTTATAAAATATTATATTTAAATTACTATTTGAAAAAAAAAAAAAAATCACTATAGACACACCATATATTTTATCCTATTTTTGCAGTATATAATTTATAATAAATTTTATAGTAAAAGTATTACATTGAAAATTAATTTGTAATTTAATATGTTATATGCCATAGTTATTTTTAATTTAAAATTTAAAATAACCGAAAAGGATTAAAAATACAAAAAGTATGTTTTTTTTTTTTAATCACTCAATTTCTCATATTTTACCCAAAAATATTATACAAAATAATATTTAATTTATATTTAACCTAACAATATCAAATAAAAAGTACTTCATCCGTCCAATTTCTATTGTCATAAAGTATATTTGCACGGTTTTTTAGGTAATTGTCTTTTTGTTATGAATGGACAAATTTGCCCTTAAGTGTATGGTAGAGATTAAAAGTAATAAATGAATTAAAGGTAAAAATATAAAATTTGTATTTAAAAAAAATAATAGGATAATAGTTGTTGGACATCCCAAATAAAAAAGTAGAACATTAGTTTGTGGACAGAGGGAGTATAAAAGTGAAAACCTGAAAAATAAATCCAAATCAAGTTATTTATTGTACTTTGAAATTAATATAAAATAAAATATTGATATAAATTATTTTTAAAGTAATATTTTGATTTAAGTTTAAAATTACAATCAAACAAACAAAGATTCCAAAGAAACAAGTTGATTTTAATTTAATTTATTTTTTTTGTAATATTATTATTAGTTATTAAGAAATGTAAATATATTACGAAAGAATGTGATATATTTTGGTAAAATAGTTTTATTGTGTTTTATATATTTATTAAAATATATATATTATTGAGAATTAGATCAAAACAAAAAGAACAAACTGTGTTATCTTGTGATTATAAGTTTTTGTTTTAATTTAGACTAAAGATTATGAAATTAAATAAATAAAATTTATTACCATTTATTAATATATGTAGGGTAATATGTCCGTTGAGGTGTCCTCCCTTATTTAAAATTTGTCCGTTATTGAGCACTGTTTATGTCCAAAATTTTTACGCGTCCAAACACGACTCATTCATCCCACTTTGTGAAATGACAGATAATGGCTCCTTTTCTATTTTTAAAATAAAATAAAATACATATAGAAACCAGACATAAAAAGGGACAAATAAATAAATAAATAAAAATAAGTTGTATAATATTGGATGAAAATTTCAACCTTCAAACAATTACGTTATCCTAAGAGTGAAAACGGCTACTTTTGAATTTTGGATTAAAAGTATATAGAGAGAGAGAGAAAAATGAGGCTCCATTAATTTTGATTTTTTTTTTTCAAATTTTGTTCATAAATACGATTTATATATATATAAAGATATATTTTCTTCTTGTCAACTCAATAGACTTTTTTTTTTTTAAGGAAAAAAATTAATTTTGGTCCCAAAATAAAAAATTCATCAATTTTGGTCCAATTATAAACAATTTTAATCAGTTTTGGTTTCATTATAAACAATTTCAATCAATTTTAGTTTCACCATTAAAAAACTAACGAAAATTGATGACGTTGACATAACGGAGGTGACATGGCAGTTGACCTGGAAAGTACACGGCCATTTACAATTATACACGACCATGTATATTTCAGTATATAATTATACATGACCATGTTGTTACACGGCCATTTATAATTTTATACGGCCGTGTACATTTCTGTTTTAGTCTAAAATTTTATTTTTTCTGTTATATATTTTTTTAAAAAATTATTTTGAATTTAAAATAGTTGATATAGTTAAAATAGACAAAATTAATAGTAATCATAACATAATTAAACATCCAATAAATTTTTATACTTGAATTAAAATTGATACATTTTAATTATATTATGATTATTATTATTATTATTATTATTATTATTATTATTATTATTATTATTTTCATATACCGAAATAGAAAGGTACACGGCCGTGTCAAATTATACATGCGTGTAACAACATGTTTATGTATAATTATACACTTAAATATACATGGTCATGTAACAACATGATCGTGTATAGTTATATATGGCCGTGTAACAACATGACCATATATAATTATACACTGAAATATATATGACCATGTAACAACATGACCATATATAATTGTACATGGCCGTGTAGTTTCCCGGTCAGACTTCTGTTATGTCCACGTCAACAATTTTTGTTAGTTTTTTAACGGTAGGACAAAAATTGATTGAAATTATTTATAATATGACTAAAATTGATTGAGAGTGTTTGTATTGAAGCTAAAATTGATGAGTTTTTTATATTGTGATCAAAATTGATAAATTTTGGTTATATTGGACTAAAATTATTTTTTTCCCAAAAAAAAAATAAAAATCAAAACCTTTATATTTTTATTTCTTAATAAATTTATCACAATTCTTGATTCGGCCCGATGGGCCCAGAAATATATTCTGGACTCCTACCTAGGTAATTAGGGTTTGCTGTTTCATAACTTGTTTGTACACGAATACTTCTATCTGTTATTTTTTTTTAATAATTACAATTTAAATATTATAAAATATAAGATTATAGATTACAAAATGTAAAATATAATTAAATGTATAATTATTTTTTAAAAAATAATAAGATATAAGATGTAGAAGACTAAAAATGAAAGATGAATAGAAAATATAAGAGGGAAGAAGTATTAATAGGAGTAATTCTTAGATGAAAATACAACTAATACACACTATTTTTATTTTTTCCTTTAATTGTGTTCTTTTTATTTTTTAAAAATATAATATCAGATTTTTTTGATTTTTAAAAATATTACATTCAACCAATATTTTATTTAATGGTAAGTATATGCTATAGTTTTTAATAAATAAATTAATTTAATAAATTTGGTTTATCAAGTTTTGGGCCCTGATACTATTGCCCGAAAGTTATTGGCCTTTAAAAGGCCCCAAATTCAAAAGATGGACTGTTAAGAAAAAAAAAAATTTTAAAAAAATTGTTTATTTGAATTTAGTCCCAAATCAAAATTAACATTATTATCTCACAGTTTCAATAAAAAATATATATAATATTTTTTCAAAAAAAAATTATATTATATATTACTATTTATAATAAATTTCAAATAAAAAAAAAAAAACTAAAACTAAAATCAAAACCAAAACAAAA